ACTATTAAGCGGCTGTGTTATGAACATGCAAAACTGTATCGCACGCATGCTACAGTGGTAAATTTATTCATCGCACAGACCAGTTTTTCCGTAGCACGTGCAACATATATGTCGCACTGTACAGCCCTGTTGATGTCAAATAAAATAAATAAGTGACACAAAGTTTAAATAAAGTAAAAATCAGCAAACACTGTGGAACCAATTAAATAAGAAACAAATGTTTAAAAAAACTTCCAAAATCACCTTAGATAAACGGCAAAAGTCAACAGGCTTTTCAAAATCCAAAATACTGCCACACTGGCGCTTTTGCACTTCGTTTCGAAACTAAATCATCCGCCATCGTCTTGTCTGTCTCACCTAATCTCAATCTTCTTGTCAGTCAGCTAGATTCACTCTCCTCACTGGATAAATGAAATCTGATCTGTGATGCGACTGTCGTTCGGCACACTGCATTGAGCAGCCGCGTTCAGTTTTTAATTGTAGTGTCTGTTCTTTTACTGAACTAAATGATTACTAGAAAAAAATCAAAATGATGGTGGGGGTCGGTGCCATGGTGGACAAGTGACGTAACCGGTGTTGCGGCTTAATAACGGTATCACTGTCAGCACCGTCTATCGCGGCAAGCCTAGTTGGTAAGATGTTTTTGAAAGGATTCTTTTATGTCTGCCAACTATGTTCTGTTTTAATATTTATTAGAATGATATTTGCAATATCATTCTAATATGCTGTTTTAGAAACATAATTGAACGGTTTAAAAAGTTGTGCTGCTTAAACTTTTTGTGGAAATCATGATAATATTTGAATTTCTTTGATGAATAGAAAGTATAAAAACAGCATTTATAAATTATACATTTCTTTACTGTCACTTTTGATCAGTTCAATGCATTCTTGCTGAATAAAAGTATTAATTTCTTAAAATAAATCTTTTAAGCTTTTGAACGATAGGCTTTTGAACGATAGGGTATATGGAAGAATGTCATAGAAACATGAAGGTGGGCATTTTTTTTTTTGGATTTGTGCCATCAACATCTGGGTCAAAGAATAAAGCCAACATGGTTGATGTAGTATGTCCAGAAATGTGTTAAAACTTATAATTCATTAAATTCAGTGCATGATCTGAAAGTATAAAAAATTGGAAGCCTTGGTGGTGTTTTGATGGTTTGTTCTCTGAAGGTGGGGCAGGAATGCCGCCAGTGTTTTTATTTCGCATGTGGTGCATTTGTCTAAACATCTTAAATCGCGATGACATTGTTCGATGTCTTGTCACCAATACATAGTAGTGCTATTAAAAGAGTGACTTCTTCATTGAAATGGTTGCATGTTCTGCTTAACAGTTATGACAGATGGGTTTTGGTTTCTTTCCTGTGCAATGTGCGTTTCTTCTTTTGAATCATCCTCTTTTAAACCTTTCAGTCATCCTCTGATGACGATTCTGGCAGCACTGTGTCCCAAAGTCGACGTGGGAGAAGGGATAGTGTGGTGAGCCAGAATAGAAACTATGACCGCATATCTAGTGTTCAGACAACACAACCACATATTCTATTTTCATTAAAGCAGTAATATATCATAAAAACATTTCCACTTTAGCTTCTTATTTTTTCGCTTTCCCATGTTCTTGTCTGTCTATGTGTAGTTGTCTGATTTCTCTGATATCTCTGAGACGGCTGCTGATTATTTCAGCCGCTCTAATCGCAGGGGCAGCATTGTCTCTGATCTTGATGATATGAGCATCCCAGACCTGGACAGTGTAAGTCAAGACATGCATGAAGTATTAACCGATGTGACACGTTCACTAAAGAGCACTGACTTGAAGGGAAGGGATAGTTCAGTTATTAAAGTTGGTTTACTCTGCATGGCTTGATACTGTGTAAAAATTGCAGTAAAGTTGACTCTACTAGACTTTGTTTAATGACTGCTTTTAGGAAGGTATACATATATTATTCCTGTATAAATGCATCTAACTGTTGTGTGTGTATCTCCTTTGGTTGGTCAACATTTGTTTTCAAAATAGAGAGTTTTGGTCTGGCTGGCTGGAGCACTGATACTGATGATTTCTGGTTAAATCGTATGAGTTACGTGGCATGGTGTGTGCCTAAAACATGCTACAGCAAGTAACATCCCACTAATTTTTTTCTTTTTGTCTTACTTTAAGATGAAGGCAAAACCCAGTTAATGACCTTTCAACTTGCAACAAGTATATATTTATAAAAGTAACCAATGAGACTTATGGTGTTTTCTTCTTTTTCAGCTCGATGAGAAATGTGACAAGCAGTTTACAGACACCTACAGCCGGGTAAGAGGAAGAGAGGTCATTTTCCACTTCCCTGTGTTGTGATATTTGACACTAAATTAAGAACCAAGTTAATGTTTCTCTTCTCATTAGAGGAAAGTTAGTCTGTATTTGGATAATTGTTTTCAGTCAATGTTTAAGTACAATTTCCAGATATCTAGAGCAGGCTTAAGTGATTTTATGTTGTTGTCATCATTAAATACACTACTATTTAAAAGTTTGGGGACAGTAAGGATACATTTAATAAAATGATACATTCAGGAAAGATACATTAAATGAATCAAAAGTGTCATTAAGGTTACAAAATATTATATTCCAAATAAATGCTGTTTTTTTAACTTACTATTCATCAAAGAATCCACAAAAAAAATATTAAACAGCACAGCTTTTTTCAACATTGATAATAATTAGAAATGTTTCTTGATTAGCATATTAGAATGATTTCTAAAGGATCATGTGACACTGAATAATAGAGTAATGGCTGCTGAAAATTCAGCTTTGCTTCACAGAAACAAATTAAATGTTAAAAATAAATGTTATTATTATTGTTATTTTAAATTGTAATAATATCACAATATTACTGTTTTTACTTTATTTTTTGATCAGATAAATGCAGTATTGGTGAGCATAAGAGACTTCTTTCAAAAACTTCAAAAATAAATCTTACCGACCCAAGTATCAATCATTAAAACTCTTGGTGATGCACAGTGGCCCCAACAGTATTTAGATACTTCAGTCACATTTGGTAATAATAAAATATCTAACCAAGTTTCATCTGCAAATTTGCTACATTTTCTCAGAACCTATTTTTTTGCGAATAAAATTAACCAACTTGTGTTAAGGTTGTTGAATAATTTTTTGATTCATTGTTTATGGGTGTTTTGTGCTCTCATTTCCTCCAGCCGTCCTCTCGATGTACCACCCCGGCGCTCTCCGCAGCTGCCCTGGCATCTCTGGGAGGCAGCAGTTCTAGAAGGGGCAGCGGAGATGCTGGAAGCATCATTATGGATGCAGAAGTTTCTATCAGCGAATTAAAGGTAATTTTGTTGTTTATTTGCATTGCACAAACTGTAATACAGATTTCTCAGGTATTTCTTGAAACAAGATGAATATACCTGCCTTTGAAAATATTTTGGCTGAGCATAGAGCAGGGGTGCCTAAACTCGGTCCTGGAGGGCCGGTGTCCTGCAGAGTTTAGCTCCAACCCCAATTAGACACACCTGAACCAGCTAATCAAGCTCTTACTAGGCATACTAGAACCTTCCCAGCAGGTGTGTTAAGGCAAGTTGGAGCTAAACTCTGCAGGACACCGGCCCTCCAGGACTGAGTTTGGGCACCTCTTGCATAGAGCATCATACTTTCCTACTGAATGCATCTGATCTCAGGGAATCCACTTGTGTTCATTTCACAGTTTTATTTGTGTTTGTTAATGCTTTCGTTTCTTTCCTCTTTATGTTTGAATGCCTTCGGGAAGCTATCTCCCTCTTTGTGTTTGTATGAATGTACAATCAGAGGTCACCACTCTGACCTTCAGTGAATGCCAAACCTTTCCCATGATTCATTCCTCCATCTCAACAGGACATCTATGATCTAAAGGACCAGATTCAGGATGTAGAGGGCCGATACATGCAGGGTCTTAAAGAGTTGAAGGTAGAGGGTCCTGAGCTCAACGCACGCCTTCCCTCATTCTGCACTAACACACCAGGCTCTTCACACTTCTTAGTCTGAAAGCATGAGCCTTGCATGAGTCTTTCACTTAGTACATTAGCTCTTTACAGTCACGTTTAGCCCACAGTCATGTTGCATGAAGACTTAATTGCTCCAAAGAGCCAAAATCACATGGAAGGCTTCTGCTTCACTCCCAACTGCTGTTAAAGGATTAGTTCACTTCCAGAATAAAAAAATTCCTGATCATTTACTCACCCCCATGTCATCCAAGATGTTCATGTATTTCTGTCTTCAGTCACAAAGAAATTAAGGTTTTTGAGGAAAATATTCCAGGATTTTTCTCCATATAATGGACTTAAGTGGTGGCCAACAGGCTGAAGGTCCAAATTGCAGCTTCAAAGGGCTTTACATGATCCCAGCCGAGGAATAGGGGTCTTATCTAGTGAAACGATCTGTCATTTTCTAAAAAAATAAATAAAATGTATATACTTTTTAACCACAAATGCACGTCTTGCACTAGCTCCGTGATGCATGTCTGCAAATTCGCACATTACATAATCACGTTGGAAAGGTCAAGTGCGATTAGCTCTTCATTTGTGTACTCCGGTTCAGAAAGGTAGAGTAGGGCGAAAAACTCCATCTCATTTTCTCCTCCAACTTCAAAATCATCCGACATCGTTGTTTTACCTTTTTTTGTAAAGGGCATTTGAATTTCTTTGCACGTTCTCTTTGTAAACACTGGGTAGGTACTTCCGCCTATGTCACGCATGACCTTTCCAACGTGACTACGTAATGCGTGAAGTCGAGTTAGTGCAAGATGAGCAGTTGTGGTTAAAAAGATATATATTTTAAAAAGATAAAATATATACATTTTTATTTTTTTAAGAAAATGACAGATCGTTTTGCTAGATAAGACCCCTATTCCTCAGCTGGGATCGTGTAGAGCCTTTTGAAGCTGCATTGAAACTTCAATTTGGACCTTCAGCCCGTTGGCCACCATTGAAGTCCATTATATGGAGAAAAATCCTGGAACGTTTTCCTCAAAAACCTAAATTTCTGTGCGATTGAAGAAAGAAAGACGAACATCTTGGATGACGTGGGGGTGAGTAAATTATCAGGAAATATTTATTCTGGAAGTGAACTAATCCTTTAATAAAGAAGATGGACAAGGATGCAGACTACACACATTTAATCAGCTGTAGCTGTGTAAAGAATTTCAGTGTTTGTCCAGTTCACATTTGGAAGTTGGAGACCCTGCTTTGAATATCCTGATATCAGTGAGACTCTGTGAAGGAACTGTACATGAACAGACAAGGGTTAATGTGACATAGACATGGATGTTCCTTCTTATATCTGATGTCATATATTATTCAGTGTTAGTCAACATGAAATGCTGCAAACGACCTATTTAGGGACTTTATCTATTGAGAATTGATTGGATTGTTAAAAAGTTGGCATTACAATACTACTGTTCAAAAGTTGGGGATTAGTAACATTTCTGAAGGATCATGTGACACTAAAGACTGGATTAATGGCTGCTGAAAACTCTTTGCCATCACAGGAATAGATTAGAAATAGATTCAAATAGAAAACAATTATTTTATTACAGTTTTTTTCTGTATTTTTGATCAACTGAATGTAGTCTTGGTGAGCATTATAGCATAAACAAATCTTTAACGACCCTAAACCTTTGAACAGTAGTTTACCTGGATGGGACAAGTGATTGGAGGGAAGGAGCCGATAAGGGAAAGTCATCTCAGAGGTGGAGCAAGTTATTATCTTTTTAGGACAAGTTACAAAGAAATGTGGAAAGTAAGACCAGGAACATGCATTTAGTAAGTAAATGGGACCATTTTGATTTCATGTTGACTTTAAAATTTCTATCTGACTTTATTTATGTTTTGTATTACACTTTCACTTTTTCAATTTTTACCTGTACATCACATTTTTATCTAATCTTCAGTGCAGTGGTCAGTGTGTGCTTTATTTGCCTGTCATTACATTTTGTAGTGGTTTTGTAGCATGTAAAGCTATTCAAGTACTTTTGTGTGAAGAATTTTTCCTCCCTCCCTCAGGATTCTCTGTCGGAAGTGGAGGAGAAGTACAAGAAAGCCATGGTATCCAATGCCCAGCTAGACAACGAAAAGGCAAACCTCATCTACCAAGTGGACACACTCAAAGACGTCATCGAGGAGATGGAAGAGCAAATGTCAGAGCTGCACAGGGAAACAGAGGAGAAATCAAAGGTGCTTATAATAAATTATTATTTTCTAGAAAACTGTTTTGATTAATCTGACAAAAAAAACAAAAACATTGTATGGTCCAGCTGTCTTATTGCCACAATGCACAGACCCAGCAGATCGTGAATGCCATGTATTGTCAACAGTTTGTTTCTGATACATTTATTAGATGTTGGAACCCTATACACAAGCTTTGGCAGTTGGAGCTAAACTCTGCAGGACACCGGCCCTCCAGGACTGAGTTTGGGCACCTCTTGCATAGAGCATCATACTTTCCTACTGAATGCATCTGATCTCAGGGAATCCACTTGTGTTCATTTCACAGTTTTATTTGTGTTTGTTAATGCTTTCGTTTCTTTCCTCTTTATGTTTGAATGCCTTCGGGAAGCTATCTCCCTCTTTGTGTTTGTATGAATGTACAATCAGAGGTCACCACTCTGACCTTCAGTGAATGCCAAACCTTTCCCATGATTCATTCCTCCATCTCAACAGGACATCTATGATCTAAAGGACCAGATTCAGGATGTAGAGGGCCGATACATGCAGGGTCTTAAAGAGTTGAAGGTAGAGGGTCCTGAGCTCAACGCACGCCTTCCCTCATTCTGCACTAACACACCAGGCTCTTCACACTTCTTAGTCTGAAAGCATGAGCCTTGCATGAGTCTTTCACTTAGTACATTAGCTCTTTACAGTCACGTTTAGCCCACAGTCATGTTGCATGAAGACTTAATTGCTCCAAAGAGCCAAAATCACATGGAAGGCTTCTGCTTCACTCCCAACTGCTGTTAAAGGATTAGTTCACTTCCAGAATAAAAAAATTCCTGATCATTTACTCACCCCCATGTCATCCAAGATGTTCATGTATTTCTGTCTTCAGTCACAAAGAAATTAAGGTTTTTGAGGAAAATATTCCAGGATTTTTCTCCATATAATGGACTTAAGTGGTGGCCAACAGGCTGAAGGTCCAAATTGCAGCTTCAAAGGGCTTTACATGATCCCAGCCGAGGAATAGGGGTCTTATCTAGTGAAACGATCTGTCATTTTCTAAAAAAATAAATAAAATGTATATACTTTTTAACCACAAATGCACGTCTTGCACTAGCTCCGTGATGCATGTCTGCAAATTCGCACATTACATAATCACGTTGGAAAGGTCAAGTGCGATTAGCTCTTCATTTGTGTACTCCGGTTCAGAAAGGTAGAGTAGGGCGAAAAACTCCATCTCATTTTCTCCTCCAACTTCAAAATCATCCGACATCGTTGTTTTACCTTTTTTTGTAAAGGGCATTTGAATTTCTTTGCACGTTCTCTTTGTAAACACTGGGTAGGTACTTCCGCCTATGTCACGCATGACCTTTCCAACGTGACTACGTAATGCGTGAAGTCGAGTTAGTGCAAGATGAGCAGTTGTGGTTAAAAAGATATATATTTTAAAAAGATAAAATATATACATTTTTATTTTTTTAAGAAAATGACAGATCGTTTTGCTAGATAAGACCCCTATTCCTCAGCTGGGATCGTGTAGAGCCTTTTGAAGCTGCATTGAAACTTCAATTTGGACCTTCAGCCCGTTGGCCACCATTGAAGTCCATTATATGGAGAAAAATCCTGGAACGTTTTCCTCAAAAACCTAAATTTCTGTGCGATTGAAGAAAGAAAGACGAACATCTTGGATGACGTGGGGGTGAGTAAATTATCAGGAAATATTTATTCTGGAAGTGAACTAATCCTTTAATAAAGAAGATGGACAAGGATGCAGACTACACACATTTAATCAGCTGTAGCTGTGTAAAGAATTTCAGTGTTTGTCCAGTTCACATTTGGAAGTTGGAGACCCTGCTTTGAATATCCTGATATCAGTGAGACTCTGTGAAGGAACTGTACATGAACAGACAAGGGTTAATGTGACATAGACATGGATGTTCCTTCTTATATCTGATGTCATATATTATTCAGTGTTAGTCAACATGAAATGCTGCAAACGACCTATTTAGGGACTTTATCTATTGAGAATTGATTGGATTGTTAAAAAGTTGGCATTACAATACTACTGTTCAAAAGTTGGGGATTAGTAACATTTCTGAAGGATCATGTGACACTAAAGACTGGATTAATGGCTGCTGAAAACTCTTTGCCATCACAGGAATAGATTAGAAATAGATTCAAATAGAAAACAATTATTTTATTACAGTTTTTTTCTGTATTTTTGATCAACTGAATGTAGTCTTGGTGAGCATTATAGCATAAACAAATCTTTAACGACCCTAAACCTTTGAACAGTAGTTTACCTGGATGGGACAAGTGATTGGAGGGAAGGAGCCGATAAGGGAAAGTCATCTCAGAGGTGGAGCAAGTTATTATCTTTTTAGGACAAGTTACAAAGAAATGTGGAAAGTAAGACCAGGAACATGCATTTAGTAAGTAAATGGGACCATTTTGATTTCATGTTGACTTTAAAATTTCTATCTGACTTTATTTATGTTTTGTATTACACTTTCACTTTTTCAATTTTTACCTGTACATCACATTTTTATCTAATCTTCAGTGCAGTGGTCAGTGTGTGCTTTATTTGCCTGTCATTACATTTTGTAGTGGTTTTGTAGCATGTAAAGCTATTCAAGTACTTTTGTGTGAAGAATTTTTCCTCCCTCCCTCAGGATTCTCTGTCGGAAGTGGAGGAGAAGTACAAGAAAGCCATGGTATCCAATGCCCAGCTAGACAACGAAAAGGCAAACCTCATCTACCAAGTGGACACACTCAAAGACGTCATCGAGGAGATGGAAGAGCAAATGTCAGAGCTGCACAGGGAAACAGAGGAGAAATCAAAGGTGCTTATAATAAATTATTATTTTCTAGAAAACTGTTTTGATTAATCTGACAAAAAAAACAAAAACATTGTATGGTCCAGCTGTCTTATTGCCACAATGCACAGACCCAGCAGATCGTGAATGCCATGTATTGTCAACAGTTTGTTTCTGATACATTTATTAGATGTTGGAACCCTATACACAAGCTTTGGCAGATTATGATGTGAGTGTATTTTTCTTGTGATTGACAGGAGTTAGAGCGGCAGAAGCACACATGTTCAGTCCAACAGCACAAACTAGAGGACATGAAGGAGGGAATTCGTCAGCGAGATGAACTTATCGAGGTAGAACCCAGAACAGAAATGGTTTATCGACCACGAATTCATGTGAAGACATTAGAAACATTTGCATTAGACTCAATGTTTTAAAAGCATTTGCAGAATAATCAAGTTACAGATGATTTGAAGTCTTTGAGTGAAAGTGTGCTTTATGTTCTTCGTGGTTGAAATGGGAAGGTTCAGAGTCTTTATATCATTCACTTTCCCCATTGAGATCCTCTTGTTTTCTTCCTTCATATGTTCTGTCTCATCGCTTCTTTGTTGTGTCTATTTTGAATCTGTCCTTTTTCCCCTTCTCTGCTTTATTAAACACATCCCCAGGAGAACCAGAAAATTCAGCAAAAGCTAGATAACCTCACGAGAGAGGCATTTGACCTGCAGGAAACTGTTAACTGGAAGGACAAAAAGATTGCGGTAGGACGATTTAGGAGATGCTGCTTGGATTGACGGCGAAAGACTGATCAAATTAACTTTTTATTCATCTCTTAGCCATCTATTAACTTTAGTTTTGCCAGGCAGCCTTATTCATATATGTATATAGTATCATCATTTTTACAAAGGATTGATGTGTGGCTAATGCATGTAAAAATGTAGACATCTGGATCTTTTTCATAAAAACGAAAATATATTTGCATCAATTTTTGTTTGAATGGATTTATGCACAATGTATGAAAAAAAAAAGTTGTAAATGCACAGTGCTGCTCTCTGCTGGTATCCCATGAGCCTCAGCTGTGTACACCAGAAGTGCTGGGTACCACACAATAGTTTTCAAAATTGAAGATACATAGTGCATGAAAATATATTACATCCAGAAGATTGATTAGTTTTACTTTTGGTATACTCACTTCTGCATGAACATCCATGAATCGCTCAAGAAGATTGAAAGAAAAGAACTATACAGAGCTATATAACTAATAACATCATTCCTTCACTTCCTGCACTATTCATCTGTCAGCATGGTCTATTTTCATCCTGCCATCTGTGACTAAAGCCAAGGCTGGGCAATATATGAAATATTTGTGATGGTCAGTACCATGTGATGTGATATTTGTGATGATCAGTATCATTCTTATTGAAAGCTGTCAAAAACATGGCTTGAGATGGCTTCAAAAAAAGTTAAATTTAACGCAAATACAGAGTAAAAAAAAACATTTTATATACACCATATATAATTTACACACACACACATACATATATATATATATATATATATATATATACAGGGGTGCACATAAGTTGTGCGCATGTGCAACCAAAATAAAAAATGCGCTGTGTAAATGAGTTCTGACAGCGCATTTGTGTACCGACATGGTTGACAGCTGTTAATGCACGATTATCATTTCAGATCGACAAACTGTAATACTGTATAAGATTTCTATTCAAACTGAATAGATAAATAAATCTAGGCTACCCGCTGCCGTTTTCAAAGCACAATGCAAAACTGACATTTCATTCACTGATGCGCTTCAGTCGATAGCGCTAAACCCGGAAGCGCATATACTTACTTGCCGGCAACCCGCCTATAAAATAGTATTTAATACTCCCATTTTATTTTAAAATATAATAGTATTATCACACTTTATTATTTAGTTTATTTAGTTATAAAAATAAAAAAAACTAAATAAAGTGCAACAATATTATCACTACGATTAATTTATGTTTCATAGTTGTATTTAATGGGTTACACTATGTGCAGTGTGAGGACCAAACCAAATCTCCAGGT